CCAGTCCTTGATCCCTGCTGTCTCTCAAAACAAGAACGATTTGTAGGCTAGGTTACTGTAAGCCTCTTATTTTAGTGATCCTGTGTATGTACCCAAACAGCTCTTTTCAATACAGAGCCCATAATACAGAGAAACTTTTTTTTTTACTTACTGGATCAAGATTTCTATAGAAAAATAATAATTTATGTTTGATCCCTGGCCTTCAGAAGTGCCGTGCAGAGTTTCATGACTATGGACAAATTAATAAAGGAGCTAGATTTTTTAACACGGACAAGCAGGTGAACAAACTGTAGCATAACGACCCTTCAAAGCAGGGGTCAGCAACCTCCGGCTTTTAGGCCAGTTCAGGCCTAGTGAGGGTTTCTGTCCGGCCTTATCCCCATCTACTTTATTGTAACCTCCCACCTGGCGGGCTTTACCGCGACTATTGTATACGCCGTTTTATTCTTAGTAAAAGCACTCCCTGACTAGAAACCTATGTACCCATCAGTGACGAGGCTCCGACACCCGTATACTATAGTGAGTGACGACAATAATATTATGCATTTCCACAACTCGCTAATTGGTTGTCTTTTAAAAAACGATTGACTACCCGTGCTTGCTTAGAGTGACTGAGAGAGAGAGAGAGAGAGAGAGAGAGAGAGAGAGAGAGAGAGAGAGAGAGAGAGTTTGGGGGGAGGGGAGCAGAGGCAGAAAGAGAACTAGATGAGAGGAGCGCTAACAATTTTTATTCATGCTATTACATTTTCAATCAAATATTGATTTCTTTAGATCTAGTAACTTTTGTCAGCGACAAAGTCAGATTTATTTTTTCAAATCTAGACCAGTTTCATGGAGCTGCTAAGAGTCGGGTTTGTCTTTGTCATTGTAATTGAATGCACTGCTATTTTCAAATGATTCAACCTTCAGAGTCCTTTCCTTGGCACTTCGTTTTTTTCTGGCCAAGGCTAATGGGCTTTCTCTGAGCTCTGATGGCCTTGTTGGCCGAAAAGATTGCTGACTCGTGCTTTAACCCTGTCCGTACGTCGTGTTTTACTCTCGTATCCATACGACATAGGGAACTCTGTGCCACCACTTAACCCTGTCCGTACGTCGTGTTTCACTCTCGTATCCATACGACATAGGGAACTCTGTGCCACCGCTTAACCCTGTCCGTACGTCGTGTTTCACTCTCGTATCCATACGACATAGGGAACTCTGTGCCACCACTTAACCCTGTCCGTACGTCGTGTTTCACTCTCGTATCCATACGACA